GACTATGAAAATAAATGCTAATAAATCAGAAGGTACCTTGAATATTGAAAGGTGAAAAACTGAAACAATAGCCTGATTAATTAAAGGTTGTATGATTTCATAGTATTCCTACCACAAAATGACTAATGTCACATGTGAGATGACACCTTCATACCTCCTCACTACGGAGCGTTCCTGAACTGACAGTTTGTAAAAAGAAAATAAGCTTCTTTTGGCCTAGTGACAACATTAAGATGTCTTTGGTATGGCACTACGAAAAGCTGAATACTGCTGAAGAAGAACAGAAGTACTGCTATATCCACAACAAATAATACTAGAAATCCTGCTGCTCTGCAAAGGCACTATTTGAACCAGGGAGGATGAAAAAACCTATGTATTATTACATTAAATTATTGCCTATTAAATGGAAGTTGCTATTCAAAATGTCTCTGAGTACTTGGGTTAATCAGGGGGGAACATGCGCTGCTGTGAGAGTATGGCCATAGCACGACATACCCTGGTGTGTCACAAGCATCTTATTTCATTAGCAAAGTAGAAGGCAAAGCAAACAAGCAGACAGGACACATGAAAATTACAAATAATAAAGATCAGGAGGATTGTCAGCATTACTTGGGATAGGAGAAATAGAAGGATACAGACATTAAAATAGTCTGTAGAAATAAAATAGAATTTGAAGAAAAAAATCACACTAAATTCTAACAAGAAATTCGAAATCAGCGATAGCGAAAAATACCTTAGGGAAATGGGAAAAGCCAGGTGACAGAAAATTTGCAATTGGTAATGATCATAAAAATGCTGGTGCAATTTTGAATTGAACACACACAGACTTTATATTACAGCAGAACAGAGAATTTCTTCTCTCAAGACATGGCTTTTGTGTGGCCAGGTTTGGAGTATTTTATTCATTCTAAGCGTGCTTTTTTTCAGAAAAATGCTGACAAATAGAAGGGAGCTCCAGTGAACCACAATTTCTTTTCATGGACTAAAGAACTTTGATGAAAGAATAAACAAATAAGTATATATGCTCAGATTAAATGAAAGCAAGTATGTGTCTAATACATTTTAAAACAGTCCATAAATTTTGAAGAATGTAATCAGCAAGAACCAAAAGGAACACTCATAATTTTTCCAGAGCATTGAAAAAGGAGGAAGACTGTAAAGAAACATCTGCCTGACTTTACATGATGGAAAACAACTCTTCTATGCTTCTTCTGAAGTCTTATCTTAAAATTTCAGGGCTGACAATTACCTGCAGTGTGGCTGAACTATCCGTGAATACACATCGCCACACAGCTCAAGGATGTCTAGCATCAATTGAGGCACAGCAAGTTGACTTCTGTTGCTATTATCGAAGTATATAAAATTAGTCTCGTAGGGGGGCGAACAAGACTTGTGAGCCACACTAGAGACGAAGGATAAGAAAATAGCTAGATGACTCTGTTAGGGGCAGACAGGTAAATTTTTTTGATGCACAATTTTGCAAAAGAATAAATGCAAAAATAGAGAAGACCGAAGACAGAAAACTGCACAGAGCACCTGTATACACGAGATTTTTTCCTTTCTCCCTTGATCAGCAGCAACAGAAAAAATATATTTCTGTATCAAAGGATACCTAGTGATAAATAAAAAAAAGCTGCCACATTATTTAAATATTTACAAAAATAGGATGCATATTATCATTAGCACTCTGTGAGAACTGTATCTGCCTATGACTCAAGTACTGCAGTTTCAAGGAAGAATGTTTGCCTTTGGAAATACAAAACAAAAGTTCCCTGGATAACTTAACTTTAGCCACCTGTCCAGAAACAAACACTTTTAAAGTCCACAAGCAGACTGTATTTGCAATTCCAGTATGGACTTAAACACTACTCCCATAAATTATAGGCAAAATAAGTTGGTAAAAATAAAGTGGCCCTATCTTCAAAATTAAGCCTACACTTTGGCTTTATTCCAAATGCGAACTACCATCAACTGCCACAATAGATGAAGAACTGCAGCATCCACTAATAACACCTACAAGACAGTTTCCTTCAAATTCAGCCATCCATTGGGTGTACTTTGTTTTTAAAACATCCGCATGCATTTGATCACTTCTAGTCGCATAGACAAGAAGGCGAAGGATATTCATACTACCTAACTCAATTGACCCTCACCCCTCAAAATGCAAATCATAGTAACTCATTTAAAAGCTTCTCCCCACCCATTGACTAGACAGAGACTATAAATTTAGGGACCAGAGAGAGGTAATGAGAATCGGATATTGTGAATACTCATAAAATGATCTATTCTACTAAAAAAAAAAAGTCATTAGACATCATTGAAACAACTACAATAACCTGGTAAGATTCTGACACAGTGTTTAAAAGGCAAAGTGAGTGGGGAAACTGAGCAATTTTTTTTTTAAATCATAAATTTCTGAAGTTTCAGGAAGTAATTTTTAATACATACTTTATGCTAGGCACTTGATTTCAATTTAATCAATAATTACAAAATTCAGTTAACAATTCATTGGGCGGTAAATACTCTCAGGAACTAGCTTTGTCTTGTACAGTACAATAGCAGCTATGTATCTATGCTTAGAAAACATGTGTTTCTGCTTTCTTTTCTAATCAAAAGTATGGAAGGATTAAAGAGAAACAGGACTGAATCACTCCAGCCAAAAGATGACCCAAGGGACTACTCTCCCTGCTCTCAGGAAAAATGCTGAAATGTCTTCCAGTATCAGATTCAATTATTGCCAGTTTTGAGATCAGGTGTTAAAGATGCCATCTCAATAGCACAATGCCATGACCACGTAATTGCATTACCGGCTCAGGAATGAGAGGCGAGCACGCTGGGCGAACACCAGACATGGAAGAGAATACAACCATTTTCTATACCAATGCAAGCTTTCCTGAAGGCTTGCAACTGCACATTTCATGTTGACATAATGAGTTTTCCATTTTGAAATGATTTTCTCATTGACCCAAAGACATAAAATACGGGGCCATAGCTTAAGCTTCTTTATATGTTTTTGTTATGACACATACTGGCAAACTAACTTTCTTCCCTTAAAAGCATTTGTTTGAATGAAAGATGTAATAAACCCTATCATAAGAACAAACCTTATCAATTACCACTTTGTAATAAAAACTGGGATTCAAACTCTCCACTGTGATTTAAGTTTAGTCTTGCAAGTTAATCTAACTTAAATGAACGAAAAGTGACTAAATACTGCCCTATATAAATTCTTATTAAGTATGGGAATAATTCAAAAGTCAGAACACTTAATTCTGTTATAACCAACTGAAGTCTTACATACCTATTACGTTTAAAAATAATGTAGTTTTTCTTCAGTACAAATTATTAATGATTTCTAGATCAATATCTTTTTATTGTATAGTCTAGAGATACTTCAACAACTCAGATAATTTTTAAAATGGCTCACTGTAACACTTAAACTAATCAAACCAATCATTACCACTTGTCCTAAATAACTAGTTGAGAAACAACAATAAAGGAATGTAAGGAAAATAGTTGGTGTTTATATGCAGAGTTCTCATTTGTTTATTTCTTGTCCAAATGCTGCTTGAGAATCTGTGGCTAATTTTTGGCACTGGCTGCAATGATTCCTCTGGCACTACTGCCTAGGCTTGACCTTTCATAAAGGCAATAAATCGGGAAAACCGAAGCAGAAATTCAGTCCTCCTTTTACACAGTGCTTGGAATGCAACCTTCAAAACCATTGAGCAAGTTTGCAAGTAAGAGACCAATTCAACCAACACACTTTTCATTTCCGTATTGCTTTAGGACAGTGAACCATCTGCAAATTCAGTTTCACTAGCTAGCACACTGTGGTCACCTTATACTGTTCCCATTTTCTGATACAGACCCTTAGGTTTTAGTTACCTACAGTTTCTGGTACATAAACTCGAACATCAGAAATAATGTGCAGCAGCATTTTCTTTACATGCTTGTTTAATTACACAGATATTACATAATAAATTATAAAGTATTTTTAGATTCCTAATGGAAAAAAGTTAAACTGCAGCTATGGTTGACAGAACACATTTGTAAGTAAAAAGCATTGTAGGCATGTTACAATAAACTCACATCAACTCTAAGTTGAAAGACTAAGCAATTGAAAACTGATATGAGTACTTAAGAGAAATCTAAATATGTTAAATTATGGAAATAAACACTTCAGGTACTGAATCTTAATTCTGCCCTTTCGTGAACATAAGCAGATGAAAAAAAGTATGTGATTTTAAAAGTTCATATTAATCTAATTTGGAACCATAAATACCAAAATACTTCAACAGCAATCGCACAGTCATTTCATATTACAACACCTGGCAATGAGGGTATCAGGTTAGGTTTCCTTCTTTTTCCTTACCTTAGCTCCTTATAAATAGAACGTAACCAGATTTCCTGTGCAACACTTTACTGGTGCAGGTTACCTCCATCTCTGTGCCTGCTGTTTAGCTTTTTTTGACAATGTGGTGTCAAGCAAAGCAATAGCAGCTTTGCACAGAATTTTTCCCCTCCATTGTCTGCCTCTCACACACTAAACTATAATGCAGCAGTTGTCAATGCAGTAGCCTGCAAGGGAGAATTAAAGGATCTCTCTTATCCCACTTTTCCTTGTGCAGGGCACCACAAAAGCCACATAAGTTTTTTTTAGCAGTGTTGTACCACAGTTCTAAGGAAAATTATGCCAAAAAGCCATTAGAATTTTTTTTTTTATAAGGGGACTAGAAATCCATTATAATATGCTACATTTTAGTTTTAAAATCATTTTGGGTCAGAACCCAAGGTCAGAGTAATTTTCTTATGCTATATTCCCATATTCCCTATTACTTTTTCTGCTTCCAAATTGTGTATCACCTGACCTGTCCAGACATACTGCAAAATAAAGTTACATGAAACAAAGAAACATGAAAAAAATATCACTCCCCTCCCCTAGATTCATACATTTCTACATCAAAGGGCAAATTTGTCTTATTCCAGGACTATCTCACCTCTGGAGTGACATCTCGTGGTGCAAACCCTGTTCCTCCAGTTGTTAAAATCAAATTAAGTTCCTTTTCATCACACCAATCTATCAGCGTCTCCTGAAAGAGAACATGAATCCTGTCAGATTTAACAAGTAATATGTAGGGTACAGTTATCTCAGAAAGCACCTGAAGACTTGAATGGTCTTAAAACCTGACACACACACACAGAGTAAGTACAGGGAATTGTAAAATCACTCATCACTTTTTATTCAAAGATTTTAAATTGCTATTTATAACCAACACATAACAGAATAATTGAAGTGTCCATCATAATATTTTTGGAAATGGAAACTGAAATTCTGTTCTCCATCTCTTGACCTGAAATGGAAAACAAGAATTCACAGTTATTAATTTATATCAGTTTATTTTTATTTTTAGAGATAAATATAATGCTTTGACACGATATTAGAATATGTGTGTTTAATTAGGTTACGTAGTTGATTCTCATTACAGTAACTTTGGGCTCTGTGCTCCACTTTTTAATAGCCTGAAAAAAGTAAGAACCACATATTTGTAAGCTTATCTACTAAAAGATGCAATAATACACCTGACGCAGCAACACAAAAGATTATCTGTAATCAACTTTTCTACATTCCCTACAAAATCTCAACAGGACTGTGTACACCAACTCCAAGGCTGGACTAAGAAAGCTTAATAAATCTGCCACATAAATTCAATGACTTACAATACTGGAGAACTCATGATATTACTGAAGTGTTTAATTTGATTTGCATTCATTTTTTAAAATGACATTTTAAACTAGGTTTGAGACAGCGTTAAAAATTTAACATAAGCAGAAAATTTATTTAGCCTCAATATGATTATAGCACTTCTTCATACTCTACTGTGGGCTAGCACAGCAGCAGGATGTCCGCTTGGAGCTCAAAATTAGCTGTGTTACATGAAGTAAACTCATGTGTTACTCAGTGAAATATCCATCTGCAGAAATCGGATCAATTAGTTCACTATCTTTGTTTTCGCAAAGAAACTTCATTCTTTGAAAAAGTTTTGGGCACATTTATGTTTCTGGAGTATTATACTGGGGGGGAATGAACTGCTTTGATGACTGCTGGCTAGAAGCTTATTATTTAACATAAAATTAGATCTGAGCAATACATTGATTTTAAAAAAAAGCTTAAACATATTTTGATGGTCCTAAAACTGTCCAGAACCTTTTAAAAAATACTACCAATTTAAATTAAACCTTAGGTGTATGTTCCACAGGCTTAGTGCTGTAACTTCCAATTAAGAGAAAGCTCATTTACAGCCTCTTGCAAATTGCAGGTAGAATAAACTTGTGTCTGCCTGTGAGCCCCATCATGCAAATGTATCCAAGGACTACTTGACGAAGTGGAAAAGCCATTATTTCTCCTTTCTTTACACATTCCTTCTACTTCCCCTTTTGTGTTATCTCCTGTCTTTATTAAATCACGTTCATCTTTCCACTGTTCCCTTTTGGAGGAAGCACTCTACCTAGGTGAGCTGTAAATTACCAGAAGTTTCTGGTCATATGAACATTACAAATAAGCTCTAGAAAAGAACACACATAATGTCTTAGACTGATACATAAATGAACTATTAAGTCTGACTTTTGACTTATGTTTTGAAAAAAAATTAATTACAGTTACAGTAAAATTAATTAAAAAAAAATAATTACACTCACAGTCGGGAAAAGCATTTTAAGCCTTAAAATTGTTTGTTTGAACAATAAAGATACACATCAGAAAAAGTATTTTAAAGAGATGGCATCTCCTCTGTTTTATCATCTAAAAACATATTTGTCTTGACTTCAAACAGCTACAAATTTCAGAGAATACCTTAGAGAAGTTCAGTGTAAAAATTGTGTTTGTTGTGTTTCTAGTAACTCTTTCTTACTAATAATTTCTGTGGGATAATGCCCTCCACCGTCCCCGACACGTAAGAAACCTGCTCACAGAATGCACAATGGTAATAGTTAGCAAAGCAGGGTATTTTGTAACTCTATTAATGTACCATCCTCTAATCTCTGCAAGTAATTGAACAGGAGAAACAAATAGAGATTCCTTTCTGGAATGAAAGAACAGTTCCCTGACCTTTGGAGATAAGTGAAATTTGTGGGTTACTTATCTTAGTAAATTTTTGCAGTGTCTTGCAATAAAGTCTTGTTACAATCATGGGCACTTTATGCTTCTGTCCTTGATTGCTGCTGTGCTTAAATAATGGAGCAGAGCAGTTCTATATGTGTAATTAATTATTTCCTTTTCAGAGTGACAAAAACATCCAGGAATTTAAACTTGAGAAAGGTTGCAAGACTCCTCCAGTCCTCTTACTGCTATTGTACACTGTGCTTCCACATAGATACTGAGTAATGTTCTCAACTGGAGCAGAACTACCACAAAGCACACAAAAACGGTCACCGTGGATCAGCCTAAATGCCTACACAGAAGAACTGAGGCCTTGAGGACTGTTCCTTTCCCATGATGCTACAGCCATATAGTATTTCTTGTCTTTTTGTCTATTTTTGCCAACACTTTGCTATGAGAGTGGGCTAACAGTCCCACATTTATGCTTACGAAGTTATTACAATACATTCCTTCAAATCAATATTACGGTGCTTATTCCTGGGATTAGCATATATTTTTTTTTTTCTTATGAATACATAATTTACGTCATAATATAAAGATTGTAAAGATATTTCTCAATACATATGTATACGTTTCACACAGGTTCACCATTGCAATGCATGTACACGTACGCTGTTACCATTTAAAACATTCACTAGGGAAGAATAGGGAAATGATAAAAGAAAATAAATAGGCAGGTTTTCATAAAGAATCTATACAGAATTCTTCCATTCTATATTCAGTATTGAAAGTGGCTAAGCAGTTCTATAGTTAACAAAGGTGTTTGATATTTTGGCAAATGCTAAATTTTTCTAGCACAGTGTAAACTTGAAGTTATTTTTCCTTATATGAACCACTAATCACATATGATTAGTGATTTAAAATATGTAAAAATTTAATTGAAATTGCTGAACAAATATCAATGTTAAATATGAAATTTAATTATGAAACTATTCATTTATTTACATTGGACTTTGAAGCAGAAGTTAGTATAAGCTGTTTTACAGACATGCATACTATCCAGAAGTTTTCAAACCAACTTTATGTGACTGAGAAGATTCTTGTGGCTTCTGGAGAAAACTACTGATAGTGCTTAGGAATGCAGAAGTCCGTGTTCTGCAGCACAGATCTTCTCAAAACTACAAGCCTTGTAAAATTGTATCACTTCCATAACTTTGAATAAATCTTGTTTACTCTAGGGCAGTGTGTTTCAAAATGCAAGGAGAAAACATATAACGATACATTCTTAAAGCTATAATGATAACTTTCCTTAGCATTCCAAGCCAATAAGAAGAATTTTTGTATAAAAAGCCATATTATATATCAATTTAATTTTCTTTCACACTGTGTGCTCTCATGCTAAAAGAGCTAAAAGTGCATCTGAGATCATTTTCATTTATGATTATCAAACACTATCATAATGAAGAAATTATAGTGAATGACAATACGGAAAAATATATCAAAGAAAAGAATGTCTGCATAGTTACAGATTTGCTAAGAAAGTTGGGTGTCATTTTGACCATTGAGTTTCAGGAACGCAGAACTGCCACACTAAGATCTCATAAAAACTTTTACTTAGTCATGTGGCTTGAACTACCCCAGACCCCAGCTCACTAAAGATAAACCCTGACATTACGGCATGAGAGGGCAGACACAGCTGCATGAATCAGAAATTCATGTCACAGCACACAAATACAAAGCAGGAAAAAAGAAAAAAAAAAGGAAAAAGTAACCCAATTGTTCCTCATTGTTGCGTTATCTAGGAGTTTGAATCTTCTCTATTCAGCTGACCATGGCTTGTCTATTAATTTAAAAGGGAAAATGAAGTATTGAGGACCATGCAAGAACATGAATACCCATAGAGCAAAGGCACTGAAGGAAAGATAAAGAGCTGAGTTCAACATTCAGTTTGAAAAAGGGGGAAGGCCTTAGAAATTTTAATCTGTTCTTGGAATTAATTTCATATTTTTTGCCCTATTTCTTGTAAAGGCTTCATTTCTTATGCTCACAATCTTCCGCTTACGTCTCAAAAGCTTCGCTGAAATGTAGGGGCATGAAAACATTCTTATGTGTGGAGCAAAACTTTGCAAACAATCAATCTGAAAATGAGTTAAGAATATGAGAAAACTAAATACTAAACCACCACAAAAATACGCTTGACATTTTCTACTACCTCCACCCCTTTATGTTCAGAGTGTAAACACTGTAGTCATGAGACTTTAAATGCAAGTGTGTATGTCAATCTGTCTAAATAGACCTTTTCATCTTAGGTTTTATGGAACAGTTAGTAGTCTTTTGAAGATTCTGCAGATATATTTGCCATTTTCAGCATCACAGTAATTTTTCATTCTTGTTTTTCTAAATACTAAGTTAATGTATTAAGAAAAGTCATAAAAACCCAACTATTCTACTGAAATGCAAAACTAAAGGAAGAAAGTAATAAAAATGTATTCTATAAATGGCTTACTTTTAAAATGGAAATTTAATTATAGGAATTTTCCATTTGAAATAAATTGCAGCTATCAAATATTTGAAGGTTCAACATACCTATGCAGCCTGCAACATAATCTTTTTTTTAAAGAAGTATTTCATATTTTCTAAAAGCTACCATTCATGATTATTATCCATAAACAGGAGAAAAAAAGTAGGCACTGAAGTCCAATGCTCAATACAGTTCATCTATGCAAATAAGTAGGGAAAGTCAAGTAGGAAGATGTGCAAACACTGAATTATTTGCTGATCAAACCACCAGGACTGGGAGGGCCAACACCGAAGTAGTTCGCTTTTTAAGGGCTGAGACTGGCAAAAAAAAGTACCATGCTGTAGAAAGTTAAAGACAGTACAGATTGACTCCACAAAATAAAAGCACAGTTTTAAATGTCTTGTGCGGATTTCCTCTCATAAAGACAAAGGAGGGATTCTTAATTCCAGCTAATTACCTTGACTTACTAGTTT